TGCCTATGTTCATATTCTAAGATAACAATGTATCCAACATCTCAATTTTTTTTGATGATTCATTTAGAATCCTCATCTTATATTTTTATGCATTCAGCATCTAATTTTTAGGGTGTTAGATACACTATAAAAAAAAATTAGAGTGCTAGATGCATCTAAAAAAAATCCAGTCATTGGATGCACTTTTATCCTATTTTTTATGTAACAAAAATTACCCCCCCCCCAGCTGAACAAAGAAACAAATAAGATGGTCATCAATCTTGTTCTCCTTCAACATTCACAGTGACCATGACATTGTACGACCTCTATGATTAATATGAAGGCTATATAACTAATTTTTGAATATTAAAAAAAATTAGTTAAATTAATTATTTATAATAAATGAGTATTATTTTTACTAAGATAGTATTGTTAATATTAGAATGTAAACCCTTTAATATATGCAATTACCATGGAGACTACTTTAGATGAAAATAGATAAATATAATAGACAAAATATATTAAAATTTTATATTTAAGATCAAATTAAATATTAGTCTGCTCTTGTATTTGGGACTGATGGTAAAATGGGTTTGGGTTTGTTCGTTTCAATTGTCTCTCTGTCTGGTAGGGTCGTGTTTTGTTTTACGAGTAGTAAGGTCTTCTGTTTTGTGCCTTGGGCTTCTGCGATGCATTCTGATGTCATCTTTTTGTAGGAAGCCCAATTTATTGGATCATTTTACTTTTAAAACTCAAAGGAAAAATAACAAATAAAAAAGCTTAAATTACTAAATTTTAAATCAGCTTTAATAACAACGTTTTATTTGGTATTAATAACACCGAATTTACAAATAACAACAAATTTTTAAAGACATTTCTTATTTGATATTTAGTAATTTTCAATTTCCTTTTTTGTTATTTTTCCAAAATCAAATTGTCTTTCATAAAAAAAAAAGACAAATAAATTTAAAAAAAAAACAAAAACCAAAAAAAAAAAAAACTAAACTAAACAGCGAATAGCTTGACCCTTATAAACTCTAAATTCATCTAACAAGAGGTGCATTGTTGGACCAAAAAAACAAGAGGTGCATTGAGTCACAAACAAGATAAGGTTCCAAGTTGGCAACTTTCGACGGGAGTCCATGGGGCTCGATTTTTCTTAAGTAAAATTGAGCGTTTAAATCTTGAGAAAATGATACAAAAATAACTCTCAAACTTGAAAATCTCAAAATAGTTACTTAAATAAGCAAAATTTCAATTTAGGCACAAGTGACAATTTGGGATTTACAAATTTGCTGAAATAACTATATTGTCCTTTAATTTTTTTTTATTGTTTTTAACAAATCAAATGCCTTCATTAGCTGGCCGGTTGTCGAAGCGCTCGCGACCAGTAGGTATTTTTTAAAAAAATTTTACAATTTCAGTAATACGGTTAACAAGTTTTGTACTGCTATTAACAAGTTCAGTATAACAGTTAACGATAGGTTTTTTAAGAAATTCAAAAAGTAATATTTTTACAATTTTAATAATATCGTTAACAAGTTTCGTAACTCTATTATAGCATTTAACAATAGGTTTTCTGAAAAATTTAAAAAATAGCATTTTTACAATTTTAAGTAATACGGTTAACAAGTCATGTAACGATATTAACAACTTTTATAAAAGTTTATGTTTTTAATATTAGCTCTATATAAAAGTTATACAACAAAATTTTTTTACTTATTAGGCAGCTATTATGGTTATGAGAGTTGTTAATATCGTTATATGACTTGTTAACTGTGTTATTAAAGTTGTAAAAATATCACTTTTTGAATTTTTCAGAAAATGTGTTGTTAAATGTTATACCGAACTTATTAATAGAATTACAGAACTTGTTAACAGTATTACTGAAGTCGTAAAAATGCTACTTTTTGAATTTTTTAGAAAACTTATTGTTAACTACTATACTGAACTTGTTAATAACCTTACAAAACTTATTAATCGTGTTACTAAAGTTACAAAAATTTTCAAAAAAATAGTTACCGACTGCCGGTGCTCTGGCAACCAATTGTTGGCTGACCACTGGAGCTCCAGTGATGGCGGCCACCACGAGCAGCTGGCTAACTAGTAAGGGTATTTGGTTTTTCAAAAACAATTAAAAAAAATAAAAGGCAATATAATCATTTCAGTAAATTTGCAAATCCCAAATTGGTCATATGTATTAAATTAAGATTTTGCTTATTCAAGTGATTATTTTGATATTTTCAAGTTTATGTGTCATTTTTCCTTAAATCTTAGAAATGAAAAAACAATCATATCAGGAGAGTTATCCCAAATAGTTAGAGGTATGTGAAAATAGTTTTTGAGGAAAAAACTAGCTTTACACAAGATAAAATGTCAAATGCCAATAAATAAATAAATGAAAAAATTACAATAAGGTCCCATCTAAAGAAATTAAATACAAAAAGGTCTTTTGAAATCATCAAATTATTTTAAAGTCCTGAAAGACTTCATTGTAATAAATTTTATTTGTTTAGTTACCAAATTGTCATTTTTTTTTTAAAATTTACATTGACAATTGAAGAACAGTCGTTAACAACTTAAGATATAAGGATTGATAACTATCGCGGTAAATATTGACTACACATTTTCTTCGCACATCACAAAATATAATATATGAGTCAATACTTGCCGCGATAGTTGTCAATTCTTATACCTTAAATTGTCAACAACTGCTCTTTCAGTTGTCAATGCAAACTTTAAAAAAAAAATAAAGGCAATTGGGTAATTAAACAAATGAATTCTCTTGCAATAGGGCCTTTTGGGACTTCAGAATAATTTGATGATTTCAAAGAACCTTTTTGTATTTAATTCCCTCGGATGAGACCTTGTTGCAATTTTCTCTAAATAATTTCGTTTGCAAAAACACAGGCGTCAGCAAAATAAATAAATAAATAAATCTCTGTTAAAATGAAGACTGAAAGCGTTTTTCTTTTTGTTTTCCTTTTTACATATTCTGTTTCGGCTTCATGGACATTGAAAACGTTGACAAAATTACCTCACGTAGTGTGCTTTTTCGACTTCCGAGCTGGCCTACATTTAATTAACATGTAATCATGATTGTTATCATTTCGTTAATTAATTCATATATTTATTTGTGATCGTGATTAGTGAAACAAATAAAAATTTAATTTGTAAACTAATTAAGGATACTTACCTGATTTCGGACTAGAGGGACTTTAAGATATCTTGTATTGGGATTCTTTTCCGAGTTCGAATTACTTTGCTGCATTTTGTTTCGTTTCCTTTGCAATCCGCAAGACTGCACGTAATTAATCTCATAATTACTTCATTATTTCTCCAATCAAATGATATTGCTCAGAATTCAGAATATTGGAGTTATCAAATATAAATAAACAAATAGTTAATTATAAAAAAATGTACATGACTTATATTGTGCAGAAAAATTCTTACTTTAACCAAATATTTCAATAAAATATTTACATCGATCTAACTGTGCAACTTTGAGGATAACTTCAATGAAAGAATATCAAGATTGATATATGTTAAATAAAAAAAGTTTTGGTTGCTGTAAATATTAAAGTAATGTGGACACAATTGGAAATAGCCCTATAAAATACAAAAATTACAAATTGATAAGCCTATAAAACTCAACACAGGTAATATCATCACAAGAATACAAGCGATACTTTATTGAAATTTGAATAAGAAAAAACTGAACAAGCTACGCGACTCAAACTCTTGCTCCTTCTCCTCGCAACTCAAAAATTGCAGCTGTTCACGAAAACAATGAACAAATCTGTAAATAAAAGCTCATACAGGTTGTGAAAGTGAAATGGAAGAAACTGAAAGAACGAAATATTGTTGCGTTAATGAAAAAAACGTCAAACAACAGGCAATGAAGAACTGGATATAACTCCATTGTTTTTGTCACGATGTAGAGGAGGTCGTTAATAACAAAAGCCCAAGCGACGCGTAACATTTCCTGTACTTGTCTTCAAATTTTTTTCAGCAGGTTTATTTTAGTTTTAAAATATAAAATTGATTATATTAAAAACGATGAAAATTTAAACATGCATGGATATAAGCTTTTGAGCGCATGACAGTATGACACTTTGCAGGAGACCATAATCAGTGATTAATCACATCCTATCTCTGACGGGACGGCGAAAGTAAAATAAAACAAAATAATAATATATATACCTCCCGTCTTTAATATAAAATATCGTTTGTCTTTTATTTTGACTCTAAATATAAGACCATAACACACTTTATTTTTTATATTTATTTTTTTTTCTAAGATAATCCTTCTAATAATGGTAGTTCTAACCAATAAACTTGATTAACAAGGATATATTAGTAAAGACAAATACCTATTCATTACAAATAACTAATTTAACTTATTTTTTTAATCTACATAAATTATTCAACTAACTCTTATATTTAAGACCGGAGGTAGTATTATTTTTACTTCAGAATTATGAAAATATGTAGAAAGGGAGAGTATAAATATATATATATATATATATATATAAAACTGAACAGGATTAGTGTTAGTTTAAGATTAAGATTCTTTGTTACATTATTAATATTAATGATTTTATTAAAATTAATTAGTTGTTGGTTTTTTTTTATCATCTTAACTTCTTTATCACTATCTTTTAATTTAATGTAGCTTGGTTTTAAATAAAACCCTTACTATATCATAGGATTATCAAATAAATATCAATCAATCCATATTTTTATAAATTAAAATAAACATTACTTTATTAAAATCCAAAGAGATCGCGCCACTCAGTGTAGCTGCGCTGATTTCAATTTCTTTTTGAAATAGAAGTCAAAAAAGAGAAGAAAGAAGTTGAATAATGTGAAAGATATCTTAACAACATTCATACCCAAATTACATAAATTAGGAATGAAAAAAAAAAAAAAAAAGAACACAAGAGACAGCAAAAAAGCGCAAATAGGCTGTGTTGTTAGTCTTCAAGCGCCGCAGCATTTAGCCATAGATTAATATTCGATCAAAAGAAACAAAAAGGGCATTTAGCCTTAGAAGAGGAACCAGATCGTCCATCAACATTCCCACTGTATCTTCCTACTTTTATCCCACGATGCTCATTATTCAAATCAAAAACTCCATCTTCAACCTTCTTGCACACACTCTTCGCTGCTTCTTCAAACGCCTCCTTAACATTTAGACCCATTTCCGCTGAAGCTTCCAAGAAGATCAGCCCATTCTCTTTAGCAAATTGTTCGCCTTCTTCGGTACTCACTTCTCTTTTCCCATTAAGATCACACTTATTTCCGACCAACACAATTGTCACATCTGAGTCAGCATGTTCCCTTAACTCTTTCAACCATAAAGCCAACTGTTTAAAGGTCTCCTTCCGAGTTGTATCATACACAAGTAATGCAGCTACGGCTTCTCTGTAGAAAGACCTAGTAACAGACCTGAATCTTTCTTGACCGGCAGTGTCCCATATATATAATTTGATCAGCTTGTTATTGATCGTAATCATCCGAGCTTCGAAACCGATGCCGACCGTCACGTCATGGGTCTGTTCAAAGCGCTTGTCAATAAATTGAAGAAGAAAGCATGACTTGCCCACGCCACTGTCGCCGACGATAATGGTTTTAAAAAGGTAATTGTAAGACACCATTTTGGATAAACCTCAGCGATCTGTATATTTGGTAACAGACTGAGGAAATATGAAGCAATTGGACGGAAATTAATATTTATAGTAGGGTAAAGGAGGAAAATCTTTGATACCAAGAGTATGAAGATACTAGATAACAGATAATGATAAGAAGTTTGAATTGACAGTGAAGTTTAAATAATATGATAAGGGGAAAAAATCTTAATCAACAACAAGCCAAGTAAAACAAAATTCTGTCAAAGTATTTAAAAAAGTATTAAAATAACGCTATCTATATTTAAATTTAAATTTTTATATTTATTTAAATTTTTGGTATAATTTGTTTATATTTTCTTATTTGCAGGTAATTGATATGCAAATCTTATGTATTTTATTGAATTGAAAATTGAAAAATAAATATGTGTTTAAATATTTTTTAGACCATGTTTATGTTTGTTGGTGATAGCACCTAAATTTTCAAAAAATTTCAGTGGATCTTTCAATTCCTCACTAATGTTCTATAGAACTTGTTGGCGGCAACACCTACAAATAAGTAGTTAATCTGAGTCGTATCCTACAGATATTGTCCTTAACATTTATTCCGCCATCATTAGCAAAGCAAGAAGTAACCCAAATATTAAATGGATTCTTCCTACAAAAACAGTGAAAGATAAAAGAACTTAGCAAGATAGAATACCAAAGGAGGAAAGAGAGTTACTTGAAAGCTTAAAACTTGGAGTTCGTTGTGAATTTCGGTCTCATGCCTCTTTTATAGGTTACGGATCACAATACTATTGGACACGTTTAATAACAATTAACTCACAATTAATAGTCATGAACACAATTAAATGGCCAGTTTACATGATTACTAACTTGCTTAATAATGACTAAAGTCATCTGTTACAACATTGATGAGACATGACCACGGATTAATTAGATAGATATTTTCTATAAAAATGTCCAATACCACATTTGACTTATGCAGATGGGGTGAAGGAAAATTGTCAGATTTACCTCCGGTGGCCCAGTGTGTTGCAAGCTCACTTCTCCTCTTGGCCTATTTAGTAGCCCAATAACAGTTATTACTTGAACCTTCATAATTCCAAATAGTGCAGACTCTTCCTTCAACACACCCATACACAATATTTACAATAGTGTTTAGAAAATTAAAAATATTTTTAAGTTATAAAATTTAATATATTTTTTAAGAATATTATAGGGACCCGATGAAAAAGCACTACGATTTAATTAAAAATAAAAAATGATAAAGATTTACATATTAATTTTGCCTATACAATATAACATCCCCGTCAATGGGAGGTCTGACCAGGATGACTCTGTTAATGACTAGGAAAATAATAACATTGGCCTCTCGGGGTTTTCACGTTAAATTAATAACATTAAAATTAAAACGTCTTAGTTTTATAAACAACATATAAATAGACCTTATTTAATTTATCTAATATAATGTGTACTATTTGTATTTTTTCTTCATCTTTTAAATCACATGATATGAAGAATCAAGCATATCCAGATTTGGTCCATATTCGGCTTGTTTGGAGCTCCATTCAAAAAGTACTTCTAAGCAAGTTCACATAAGCCGAGACAAAACTTTTTTCACATACTTACCTCATATTCTATAAATCACGTTTGAAAAGTTACTTATAAGTCAATCTAAATAAGTCCAAGTGTAGATGAGATTTTATTATAGATCTTATCATTTTATTTTTGTATTCTTCATTAAAAATAATTTCATATCCCAATGGTAATATGATTAATATTTATAATTTATCCGAATGGACAACGTTTAAAATAAAAATATTAAAATAATCAAAAGATCTACCCGTCCAAATCTTTACGTAATGTGTATTAGATCCAATTTCAAAGAATCAAAATGTGGAAGTGGGCTCTTGAAAAGTGGTACTCAGTCCTAAGTTAGTTGATGGTTAATTTTTCTTTTCAGACTGACTCTACTGAAAATTTCACAATGATAGTTACATACAATAATAATTCAAAGGCACCCATATATATTATAGATTGAGTAATGTTTATTACTGTAGAAAAATTCATTAATACCAGAGAAATTATAACGTTAGGCCTTTTTTTTTTTTCAATGCAAGTAGCCATTGGGCATGGCAAAGTGATTGAATTTTTTCCTTAAAAAAAAAAAAATGAGCCTAGTAGAATATCAATCTCACTATTTTTATCCATAAATGCTCCTTTTTCGCTTTTTATTTTTTGTTTTTTACTTCAGCGATGCCACTTTCTCTTGAGAAAGATTAATACAATTTATTTTAAGAAAAGAACAAGTCTTATTTGTTATAGTTAACTTATTTACCTAATTTTTTTAATTTACCTGAATTAGTTAAATAGCCCTTGTATTAAAAATAGAAGATAGTGATTATCAATTATTCGAATGGTTATTCTCACCTCAAATAAAACATTCCCGTTTGGCATGTTTTGCTTTGTGTATGATTGGGTCATGTGCATTATTTGGGATTCTAACGGTTACAACAAGAAATATCAGTTCTATTAGATGAAGTTCGCTACCGGGAATGCAGGAACATTCAAAATGCTATTTATACTTAAGCAAGTCCTATAGCCCGTGGAAAATAACAAGTTCAATTTATGATAGCAACCCGACATAAAGACCTAAACTGCGAAAAATGCAGATGAAGAGGTGTCTTCAAAATCTCAATCACACGCAGCACTTTTAAGCCCAAGACAGTTAAACATGTGCGCTTTTAAGCCTATCAATCCATGGAAAATAACAAGTTCAAATTATGATCATATTACTATTTCTTAATCTCAAAATGCCATATACTTGGACAACAAACAAGATACAGTTTCTTGGCAGGAATATAATATTGAAAATATAAATAACGTAAATCTTATTGGTCCTAAATTTGATAAATCAAATTACCAAATCTAAGGGCCTGTTTGTTTGTGTTCTTTGTTTTCTTATTCTCAAAACAATTTTGTAAAATTGTTTCTCATAAGTATTTTTGAAAACAAAAAACAAAAGAATTTGTGTGGATAATAATTTTAAAAAACATCATGTTTACAAGAAAAGACGATAAAAAATGACACTTGACAAATGATAGTTGTCGCTGGTATTGATAAATAGTAGATAGTAAGTGAGAAGAGAAGAAGATTTTTCAAAACTTTTTAAACCAAAAAATAAAAAACACAAACAAAAACAAGAAAATATGTAAAAATTGTTTTGGTTTTTTAGTTTTTAAAAGCACATTACTGTTTTTTTGTTTTTTAAAACAATCAACTAAAAACAAGTTACCAAACAAGTTTTTCTGTTTTTCTGTTTTTAAAAACAAAAATTGTTTCCAAAACAAGAAACCAAATAAGTCCTAAGTCTGTCCGATCTCAAGATGCAATTATAATGAATTCTAATATCTGGCGCCTTCATGTTGCGGCGCCTTCATCCTCCGTAGAATGAGAAGTAATTTTTTAGTCTGAATATTTAATCTGAGTGATGGAGTCTCAAGGTCAAGTGATGGTGAGTTAGATTAGCCGACAGTAAATTTGTTTATGAAAAAATAACTGGAGGCTAGAGACAAATAACTAGAAATCTCTGGACTTCAATCTTCATATTATCTAAATGGTTTTCATCAACATACTGCGGGATGCATGTCTAACTCTAGATCGAAAATAAGCATAGAGTAAAGATAGAGTCAAAAAATCATCTCACAGCATAGGCAAGCAGAAGCAGTGTGACATACTTCATCTCCTTTCCTCCATCCTTCATCTTGCAACGTTACATAGGCTCATTTTTGTTGCAGACAAAATTGCCAGATTCCTCCTTTGGAAATTTACCATTGACCTCTGCAAGAACAATGACCCTTCTGAAATAAATGAATCTTGTTCCCATCTCTCACAATTATATCCCTATCAACTACTAGTGTTACAAACATTATGAAGTTATGGCAATCTGAGCAAATGTGCAAGTTCTTGTTTATCCGTATTGGAGCCATTGGAGGTCCACGAAGAAGACCAAAAGCCACTGCTAATCTTTCTGGGTGATGAAATTTATCTCGGCACTCTCTGTATGGATAACCTCGATTCCTAAATTCAGCTTCAAGTAACTTCAGTCTTTCATCAATCTTATCCATCTGGCGGTATGATGACTCTCCAGCAGAGAAGTGGTAAATCTTGCCACTTATCTCTATCCAGCATTGAGATGAACTTTTTCTCAAACCTCTATCTCTCATCAGCCTGCGGGTCTTGTCACCTAAATCAGTATATCCAGCATTATCATATAAGTTTGCAAGGAGCAAGTAAATGGCAGGATCGGATGGATCAAGCTGGAGACACCTCCTTGCCATATCTTCTCCCAGAGGTACATTTCCATATAACTTGCTGGCATTCAATAGAGCTTTGTATATTATAGAGTCTGCTCGGAAAGGCATTGTTTCAATAACTCCCATAGCTTCCTCTAGACGACCAGCCCTACCAAGCAGATCAACTAAACAAACATAATTATCCAAATTTGGTGTTATATGGTATGTTTTTTCCATTGCTTGAAAATACGCAAGACCCAGATCAAATAAACCACCATGGCTGCAAGCAAAAAGCAGTGATGAGAATGTAACAGAATCAGGCTCAACTCCTGCAAGCTTCATGTCGTCAAAAGCAGAAAGAGCATTAGAAATATGTCCATTTGATGCCAGCCCTGAAATTATAGCATTCCATGATACAACAGCTGGCTCATTAATTTTAATAAAAGCTCTATATGCATCATGTATATTACCACACTTGCTGTACAAGTGAACCAAGCTATTCGAAACTGAGATATAGCTCTCTAAGCCTGATTTGACAGAATAACAATGCAGCTGCTTTCCTGTTTCCATTGAGCCTAAGCTAGCTGCAGCTGATAAAAAACTTGCTAGGCTAAATTCATCAATCTTAATATTATCATGGCACATGTGAGTAATGAAATTTAATGCCAGTGCATGATCCTGCCTCTGATTTATTCTTGCCACTAAACTTGTGTACGTAACGGGATCTCTACAGTTCATTGAGCCAATAACACTCCACGCCTCAGCAATCATACCCTGTCCACTATAAGTGTTTACAAGAGCATTCCCTACAATTATGTCATTGTCTGCATTTGTTTTGATAATATGCGCATGGAATTTCATGGTTTGACCTATTGACTTTATGTTGCTGCAAGCCCTTAGGATGCAAGATAATGTAATGGAATTTGGTATCTCTCCTGCTGCTCGCATCTCCATATACAAGTGAAAAGCATCCTCTTCATAACCGTGTTCAGCAATGCCAGCAATCAAAGACGTCCAAGATATGACATTCGGTGAGCTTATCTCTCTGAAAGCTTTCATGGCATTTTTTGTGATGGGGGAGCATTTCGAGTACATATCAACCAGTGCATTTCCAACATAAACATCATCCTCTAACCCAGCCATGATTATCTGTGAATGAAACTGTTCCCCCAAATGAAGTGATAAAACCGATGAGCAAGCATTCAGTAAACTAGCAAATGTAAAATTATTTGGGAGAATTCCACATGTTTCCATATCAACAAATGCATTAACAGCCTCTCTGACCCGCAAACTTTTGGCGAAGCCAGAGACAATAGTAGTCCATAAGAACACATCATGTTCAGGTGTTAGTTTTGCTGCCTTAATAGCATCTTCGATCTGTCTAAATTTTGAATACATATTGACAAGCGCTGTCTTCAAAATTACATTCATTTTAATACCAAATATGAATGTATGTGCATGCAGTAGTTTTCCATAATTCAAACCAATAAAACAAGATGCACCTAAGAGTTTAACAAAAGTGAATTCATTTGGATAAACTGATGCTTCAATCATTTGAATGTAAAGTTGTAAGGCTTCACTCCATTTCTGAGATTCGGCTAATGATGAGATCATTGTTGTCCAAGAAATAGCATCACCATCCTCAATTGACGAGAGCAATTTGTATGCTTCAACAGAATAATCACAGCGGGTGTACAAATTGATCAGTGTGGTTTTCACATAAGGATTTAGTTCTAACCCAAGCTTTACCATAGAGGCATGAATTTGGGCACCATATTCAAACTCTCCCAAAGCAGAACAAGATCTTAGAGCACTTGACAAGGTAAACTCATTAGGGAATTGACCAGAATTCAGCATTGTCCCAAAAATCTCAAGAGCTTCATAATGATGTCCACTCTTGACATAAGCAGACAGAATGGAAGTCCATGACACGACATCTCTTTGAGGCATTTCATCAAAGAAATGGCGTGCGTGTTCAACTCCAAAGCATTTACCATACAGATTTAACAAATTGTTGCTCAAATACATGTCATAATGAAGACCCAGTTTGATTATTGGGCTGTGAACACATACTCCGTCTTTTCTGGAGTTTGATTTGCACAAAGATAAAACCCTCAAGCAAATTTCTTGGAAGCGGCACGCTTCATTTGGGATCAAAGTCTTAGGAGCTATTTTACATAGCTGCATATCTTCCCTTTGCTGTTGTTCTGACACCTTCTTAACAAGAATTACTTGCAATGTTCGGAACTATAATGTTTGACATGAAGCAGAATTTATATATATATATATATATATATATATATCAGAAGATATAATAGATGATATGAAGCTTCAATTCGTTGAACGCAATGATATTCAGAGGTAGCTCCTAAAGATGGTAGACCCAAGGATTGGGGCACAACTGGAAGCAACTTATCGAAGTGAGAGTTTTATATTAACAAAACCATAATAAAAAATGCGAGAGATGAGATGACTGACGAGAGGCGCTTGACGGAAGGGAACACAAGCCAGGGTCTAAAGAAAGCGGATTCCTTATATTTCTCCATTCAATAATTTTTTTTCTTTTTCCCATTTTTTCTTTCTTTGTCACACTTAATTCAAACAATTTGATTATGTGGAACTTTAATATTTTAAACATAGGTTTATCAAATTTAAAATTATTTTTTAAATTTAAATCGCATAGTTTATAATTCATAATTCATTGTTAATATATTTTTAAATAAAAATAAAACAAACCTGTTTAAAAAAATTAGCATTGCTTTTAACACATTGTATCTTGCTTCCACTACGACAAATACATGTTGTTCTCGGAAGAAAATTGTTAGAGGAATTCTCACAAAACTACTCTCAAAATTTTGCTTACAGTAAATGTTTTCACAAAACAGTCTCGCCTAAAAATATTAGTAAAAAAAATAAATATATTATTATAAATTAAAATTGGTTAACTATTATAGTTTTATTATTTCGTTCTGCATGACTTTTCTCCATTTATAATATTTCCATTTTGCATTCAGATTTCTCACCTCCATTTCAAATTTTAATTCATTTATATATAATAATTTCCTACAATTTTTTTTTTTTGGAATAAACAATGTACAAAAAGCACCTCATCTTCACCTCTCTTTTTTACTTTTAAAAAGGTTCCCGCTATTTATACTCATGCAAATCCCATAACCAATGAACAATAGCTACAAGTTCAATTGTGATAGCAACCAAATATAACAAGAAACACTAGCTGCGAAAATTTCAGATAAAGAGTTTTCAGCAAAATCTTATGCAGCACTTTCCAGCCCAAGACATAGTTAAGCATGAGCAACAACCAAATTGAAGTCTTTTCCTATGAGGAATCATGATCATATTATTTCTTAATCTCAAAATGCCATATACCTGGACAGCAAAGAAAATTCATTTTCTTGGCTTGTTATATAGTCTGTTTAAAGCTTGCAACTGACCCAACATGCGCGGAAACGAAAATGAGCTCCTAATAAGGAAAAATACGATCATGTGACCACATAGTATGCTTAAAACTGAAGGGTGTGTGCAGCAATAAGTTTCAAATGTTAAATGAACAAAACATGAGCATTCAGGACTTTTCAAGTGCTCATAACAGGACCAAAAGTTGAGAAACGACTCAAGACTTTTTCGTAATCACTTGAACAAAGGGGGGAAAAAAACTCTCACAAGCATTTTATCAAACACTGCGAGGGACAGACCTCCAAAGAAGCATAGAAAACAATCGTGCCAAATATAAACCATGCCAATTGACATATACGTATTTCAGTCAAGCATCAATCCCAAATCTTAACATTCATTGCCAGAGCAATGAAGACGAAGCTAGCCTAATGAAGATGAAGCTGGTAAGAGCACGAAATCATTACCTGTAAAAATGCTTCGAATCATTATTTTGCTTGCACAAATTTCTCGAGCTCGATCAAAAACATTGGCTGCCGTTTCCTTCTGTTTTTGAGTTCAACAAAATCCTCCTCTTCTCTCCTCATCCTCTTTGCTCTCAACTCTCTCTTTCAGACTCACATTATCTCTTCATCTCTTCCAATCTCAAATAACGTTGACCTCTACCCCTTCTCTTCTTTAAATAAGACTGGGAAATTTCAAATCAGACCTCAAATTCAGGCTGAAAGCATAAGCAGAAGTGCAGAACTTGCCTCAGAACTACACAGTATTGTCCTCCACCGCGCAGTGCCTTTGTTTGTTCACAGAGCCGACTTCTACAGAACTTGCCTCTGCTTTTTCCTCTCTTTGCCAAGACTTGCTCTATGCCTTATGTAAACTGCTCTATTATTCTTCATTGCTGGCCGCTCACCAATCTCCGCCGAAAGGAGGCACTGGGCGCTTGGTGTGAATCGTTTTTCTTGTTTTTCTTTCTTTTTTCTATTTTAAATGTTAAACATTCTCTCTCTCTCCCTCTTCGTACGCAGTGTTTGGCTCGAGATGGGAGAGAAGAAATTTTAACGAAGGGAAGGAAAAGATAAAAAAGTGGAAGGTAGCTGCATAGGGGAGAGTATAGTAGCGGAGGGGAATAAAGAGATTTTAATAAAAGAAAGAGGAGGAGAGAAATTTTAATGATATCTTATTTGGTTTATAAGGGGGAGGGAGGGAGCTAATTGAAAATGGACTATTTTGACCTCATAAAATTAAAAAGAATTTTTTCACTTTTCTATTTTGTCAAGATATAAATATATATATATATAATACAATTGACCAATTTTGACTTGTCATAATACAAATTATTTATGATTACTTATTATTTGAACAATAATTAAAAATAACAAGAATTATAATATTTTTAATTGAACCAACCTTCTTAAAAAACAAATTAAAAAATAAATTGAACTTGTCTACCAATATATATTGCAATCAAAATAAACATCCATATTTCCAAAATAAAAAGACCCACGTGAAAAAAGATTCACAAGCAAGTATATCATCAACATTAAAAAAGAATTCAAATATTGAAAACATGATATAAGACTACTCCTAATGAGAACATAAAGAAGATCCAAACACCACATCCATAATTACTGCTTTATATGCTGGAGGTGGCATTGAACAACTGATCTCAACTTATCAACATCACTCATAAGATAGTTATAAATCCATGGTTTTTATCAGCATCAAATCCACATTAACTTATCAAATGCCAAATCTCTTCACCTGACATGGGCGAAATCTTGCAGATAAAACTCTCTCTTTTTATAACATTTGACTCATATAATAAATCATTTCCCCGTTTCAAAATGTCATGAATTAAATCATGACCTCGAACTAATGCTTCATTGCCTTTTATAATTGCTGTCGCCATGTCAGATACTACGCTCTTCATTATGTTGAGATCAATCTCCTTATATTGAGCATGCTCTTTCCTTCTCCTTTTACTACAATCACTAGTTGCTCCTTGTGGCTATTTAGAAGGTAAGGGATTTTTTTTACCGGTATCACCATCACTTAAAATCTCAACACCATCTAATGTGTATTCCTTTTGTGAGATAAGTTGATCCAGGTCATTAATAGTTTCATAATCTGCTTCCATAGGAGATGAATGGCGTCATTTTCGCTTCTCCTTTACTGTTAAAGACTCATCTCCACAAGCTCTATTAGCTCCATATAAGATTATCATCTTATTGTAATTAGAAAATAGAGTATTTCGCCAAATTGCAGCCTTTGGTTTAGACTAAGACAATACATAGACATATTTTAAAAAAAACATTATTTAAGTTCCACAAACAAAAAAAAGCAATTATGTATAAAATGTTAAAATCATAACTAAATTAGAGCCTCCCAGACTTAAGGATCAGCATCCCATAATTGAGTTTATGGGTCCTAAGCAAAACCACTTAGACCATTTTTAAATATATCATAAACTTCTGAAAAGTTTCTTTTCAATGTCTTCCAACGATTTTTTATTTTGTCCTTGTCAACCTTCTTGCTAAATTGTGCACTCAACACTTGGACAATGTTTTCATAAGCTGTAGTGGTAAATGTCCTATTAACTTTTTGATTGTGTTCATGCTTATACATGAAGGCATCAATAAGGGCATCATCCATAGGCCTTGTCCAATTAAGCAACTCCTTGCCATTGTTTGATCTTGTTGCCATTTTTTAAGTCTTTTTATTATACCATAATAAAATTTCAATTGGAAAAAAAATAGAGATAAGACTAGACTCAATCAAATTAATATTATAAATCATTCTAACAATAACAAATATAAGAACTAAAAAATGAAACTCAATGAAATTAATGCGATAAATTGTTCTAACAATACCAAATATAAGTACTAAAAACAAAAATCAATCAAATTAATATCATAAATCATTCTAGCAATAATAAATATAAGTACTAAAAATAAACCTTGATTAAATATATCAATTAATCAATGAGCTTGAGCTTGAGCTTGATAAGCTATCCACATTTGATTGGCTATGTTTTCTCTAATAACGCCTTGAGCAGCTTCCACACCCTCATTATTTGGAGCACAACTGTCATCATTTTCATTTAAATTTGCAAGTTCCTCATCAACTTTCCTAATAAGTTCTTCATCAGGTTCTGTAGTTATCAAGTAATTATAAGGAATGCAACATGCAAGTATTACCAATATGACCTTTGACCCCATAAGTAGGCTCTGATAAGCTAGATAAAATTTGAAGTTGTTTTTTCAATACTCCAAATGCTCTTTCAATTGTATTTTGTAATGATACCTGCCTCAGATTGAATAATTCCTTGTGATTTTGAGGTGGATTTCTTGAATATTCTTTTTAAATGATATCGAACCACTCTATAAGATGTGATAAGTCCACTTATTAACATGAAACCAGTATCCACAAGGTAATATTTTCTTATAACGAATGAAAATAGTCAATGTGAATGTGCAATAATAACTTGATTAATTGGATTAATTTTAAAAATTACTCAAACAGTTACCTTGGGAGATTTTAAGCCTATCTTCTTGAGTCAATGCGTTCTTTAAAATTCTTGAGTCAGATGCTGTGCCTTCCCACCCTGGGAGCACATAAGTAAATTTTAGATCAAATTAGCTTGTTGCTAAAATATTTTATGTTGGGTACTCTTTCTTACAATGATATCAAGGGGCATCTGCTGGAGATACTTTAACACGTATATGTGTCCCATTTATTGCACTAACACAATCTATGAAAAAAGGAAAGAATTTACCCTTATTACGAATCTGAGGAGGCACTGAAGAACCATTAGGTTGTATCAAAAATTTTTCTTTTAGTTCAATAATAGCATCTAAGACTTTATAGAGATGATGACTAATTGTCTTACCAAACCTTTAAAAAATAAAGTTAACTACACGATTTCTTGCTTTGTATGCCAAAATATAAAGAGTCTTAGCTACTTGTTCTTCCACACTTGCATATCGTGTGGCTCGTAAGCCTCCTTCTCTCTCTAACATATTACATAATTTTAAAAAAGTTTCAGGACCCATTTTAATAATGTCTTGACCATTTGTACTATTAATTATTCGAGCCATCACTTCTTCACGTGCTCTTTTTCTTTTGGAACTTATATTATAACATATTTTTTCATCACGGCACATATGAGTCGCGTAGCACCATATGATAACACAAATGACTTGAACTATAGCTCTTCAACACAATTCCAAGTATCAATGAACCAACATAAAGTATTGAATCAGCATTTGGCGAACCAACATATATCTATGCCTTACCAATTCCATCTACGAAAAAATAAAATCATACTTATAAGCAAATCATGGATACCTTAATGTTAGTTATCAAAATCTATTTGTGGTCGAGGGCCTCTCACTACTAAATTGATGACATTATTACATATATTAGTCAAATTTAAAGGAAAAACAAATTAAAAACTATAACTATGTTAATACAGAACTACCAACTCAAAATCCTATTCTTCTAAATGTTAAGTAGGACTCTACAATGACATAGGACTTAAAGTCATCATGTGTCTAATATGTACCCAAGAAAATATTTAGTAAAACTATATCTACAGTTAGTATTGCAAAAAATTTTGTGCATCGCGATTAGATGAAAACCATTGAGGTTTATAAGCTCTTCATTGTGAAAAAATTTACTAATAGAAAATTTAAAGGATCATTTATTAAAAAAATGAAAAAGATTCAAATTTACGATGTTTTAGTGTAATATCTCTTCTGCACCAAGATGTTGGCTTTGGATATAAACGTCCTACCTTTAACCCCTTAGAGCACAGATTTGTAAGTGTTATGATTCAAGCAAATCATGACACAAGCCCGTGGATTTAAAATTTCAACATAATTACTCAGGTCACTATTCACTATTTAACTTCCAGATTACAGGTCTAATTTCAAACATTCATAACTAATTCCATAAAAATCATGTTGATGTGTTCTAAAATTCTATGAAAATATATTTCAATGCCTTTTAAGGAAAAAATATCCAAATAGACTTATCTTTGGCCAATTCGTACATTTAATCAATAAATATTACTGTTTATTTCATAAAATCTGGAACTTCCAGATTCTATACCTCAACTTTGAAAATTCGTTTCTCCTTGTGTACACATCCAATTGAGGTGATCTAGATGTCATTTAAAGCTTCGAACGTGTACTATGAGTCTGCCAAATATCGTAACTTAACTCATTCGTTTGATAGGTCAAAATGGAGCTACAAACTCACTGCTCTAGGACCTACGTTTTATCCCTTACCATCTCTTTATTTTAATTTTTTTATTTCTTTGGCAAACATAACATGGGCTTACTCTTTCCCATTCATACTCATACACTTTTATTTATTCCATAAATATTATAATTAATTACATGACATCATTAGCATCCACAATATAAATTACATAATAGAGAATTACACATTGAATAATAATATCATTCATTAACATGAACAATTCTCCACTTTCTTCTCCTTGCTTCTCATGACATTATTGCCCATCATTGATTGACCTAAATGGTTGGTTAGGGAGCAGTGAGATTCAAAAAAATTTCAGTAGCAAACAATACCATATTAATCATGCTAGATGGATGGTAATGCACTACACGCAACTTGTTTATTCTCTTGTTAATTAGTGACATATTAGCATGCTTCAAAGCTAACTTCTTAATGCATGGCCATAGAGACATAATCTACTCATTATGAATAGCAATTACAGTAGCTAAAACATATCACAATAACATTCAATAACATATACACGGCAACACACAAGCATACAACATCAAGCAATAACAATAGGTAAGTTCACTACCTTGCACCTCAAGCTTTCCTCTTACTTTTCCTTTGACTCCCTTGACTTTCCAACCATGTGGGCCTTCGGTTAACATCACCAAATGTCC